AGGTAACCCTGCCAGAAAACGATCCAACCCTTCAAACCTTCCCAAAGACCCCGCCTCGAACCAAGAAGGCACAGGTGAAGTCGGCGAACGAATAGGCCTGAGTCGGCTCGGGTCATCAGAGGGGTTGTCCTCCGAAGCTACGAAGCTGTAGGAGGGGTGAACATTGAAAAATATGAAGGCGGGCACAGAGCCATGCAAAATCACGTTGAGCACAGGTGAGCTCGATCGTCCCTTCAGCAGTGAGCCTAAAACCACTTGCGAATCCAGCAGCTCTCGGCTTTTTTGAGGTTTATGTGCGAGGTGCCACGCCTCTTGAAGGATCCCAGAACCCTGAAGCTAAGAAACCGACAAAGGGAGGTCCAGAGCGCGTGTGTCCGAAAGGACTCTCCGGGCAGTTCGGATTCTGCCTCCAAGGCACCAGCTCGGCAGAGAAGGCACTCGCTGGGGCGCAAGAGTCGGTTCCAGAGACCTTTGCAAAGGGCATGGCGGTGCAGTTCCTTGCCCCAAACGCGACCAACCTCAGCAACAGCACCGGCCCCAACGAGATCAGAGGCGTCGGTGCAGACCAAAAGGCCTGAAGAGCAGGCCCGCATGTCGCACACAACGAAAGGAGCGAGGGCACACAAGGCAAAGAGTTCGGCCCGGAGCCCCGGTGTGCTCCTCACAACATCCTTTCTGCTTCTGCCCCACTGAATCAAGTAGATGTGGTTAAGAAGGCTCATGAGCCTGCGTCGGTACGACACAACAGCTATCCAGGAACCCGCTAAAACCTCTAAAAGACTCACGCTGAGAACCGGCAGCTTTATGCACGCGATGGTGAGGGACACGAGGGGGATGACTCGGGACCAAGACGGCCGGACCCAGCCACACAGCCCGTCGACCTCGGAGCCCCAAAAGCTGGCTCGGTGCTGATCGTTGAAGCACTTCCCTTGGTGCACAGGGAGAGGAGCCTTCTTGTAAGCAAGGTGCACCTTCTCCATGACAACCTTGGCTTTCCTGGGCCCGAGGCTACGCAAAGACTTCTCGATGCAAACGAGATCGTCGATGACTATGCCTAAGGCAAGGTCGCCGCGAGGAAACCGGCCGCGCAAAGTGAGCAGCTTGTCTGGACCTATGACCCCGAAAAATAAACATTAGCCCGATATGCGAAGCTTGCCCGAAAGAGACCGAGTTGATGTCACCCATCGCCATCGTCCGGAGAGAGGCGGCGACTCGAGTGCACTTCAGAAGCTGCGGAGACAGGCCAGGTCGGCAGGCGTAAAGGTACCCTGAAAGGTGTACAGAGAAGCCGCTGTTCAGACACAAGGAAGTTATGGTAGAACTCCTTTATGTCAGCCCCAGAGAAAGTGGCAACCTCGGCTTCCTCAAGTTCGATGCCGAGCAGCGCAGCAGAAGTCGGCATCAAGACAAGCCACCGGTTGTCGCCAGTCTGGACCGCATTGCCTGGTCTCGCATCGATTATGAGGCGGTCCCGGCTCGCACTTTTGGGAACTGAGAAGACTCCGCAGCACCCTTGGGCGGTGCTCTGCGAAGCCGGCCGCAGGGCCAAGCGCTCACCAGAATCCAAAAGGGCGAGAAGGTCAAGCTTACCTTTATAACCCGGGGACCTAAACCTTACCTTAGGGGGGGCGTCGGGCAGGTCGGCGAAGCTGCAAGAGAAGTCCTTCGGCCGCACATAAAGGTCGCGCAACTGGTCGTCCAAGTACGGGCACGGATCGAACTCGGGCACACCGGTAAAAGAGATCCTCGAAGCAACGACGTCCTGGGCCAAAGCCAAGTTTGGAAGGCCCGGGCCCGCAGCGCCACGGTCTTGCTGAAGGACCCCTATCTGCTCCTCGATTTTCTCAACCTTGCCAGCAGAGCGGCCTAAATCCTGGCGGGTAACAGGCGGGAAAAGGTCCCACTCTCGAAGGCGGTCGCTCAAGCGTCGCCAGCATCGGCGAACAACCTGAGCATCAACGTTTGCAGGGCTGTCTGGGAAGGGAGAGGCGACCGCGCCTCGACAAACGCGGTGAAAAGGTAAGGCGAGGAGGCTGTCCAACACGGTGGCCCTAACATGAAGGGCCTTGGCATTGCAGAGGGCAACGTCGGCACACCTGGAGCCTACCTCCGCCAGAGAAGAACGAAAGAAGGCCCGATTCACAAAGGAAGGGCCAGAGCAGCCAGATGCAAAATGAGCCGAGAGCGCCTGATCTGTTTCCAGGACCTCCGACAATGAATTCCAGAGGTCGCTTGCAACAAAGACGGGACCAGCCGCTTCCGGAAGAGGCATGGCCCAGAGCCCGGCACAGAGCCAGGCGGAGAGAAAACACCACCCCATTGCCCCTGGCCCCCGGAGGGGCCCGGCTTGTCACCAGTACCAGGAGCACCATTCTTCGGATTGACGGCCTCCACGACCACCGGGAGGAAGGGCCTCTTCCTCACCACCTTTGGGAACACTAGGTTCGGAACCACGACCACGGCCCAGCTTGCGCTTGGCCTCCAGGAAAGTCTCCATCTCCTTGACTCTGTGGAGCAGGACGTCGGACCACCGGCTGCTGAGGAGGCGGGTGTGGTAGGAATTCAAAGGGTCCATCAAGACCCTTCGACCCTGGAACGACCCCAAGGGCGGCGGACTTTCAAGAAGGATTTCTTGGGCATATACCCATCCCCCAGCATCGATGCACTGCTGATCCACCGCCGCGATCGCCAAGCACGTGCGCGCCCGCGCCTCGGCAACTCGATCATCCCGGAGGCAATCTAAGATGCCTCCCAAGCACCACAGAACTCGGATCGTCGTCGGGAAGAATCCGACTCTGGACCGAAATTCGATCCAAGCTCGGGCCGAGCTCTGAGCGGATGACAACGACCCCACAGCTCTTCTGGAGAGGAGGTCCTCGTCCATGAGCCGCTCGATCTCTTGATAAATCAGCTCTGGGGAGCGTTCCAAACTCTCCCGAAGCAAACGATATGCAGCAGCTTTGGAGCGGCCTCCAGAGCCACTGCCCAAGCCAAAGAGATCCGACCCTGTGCTGCTCTCAGCCTGGTCCAAGGCGGCATCAAGTGTGGAAGCTCGCTCTCCGGTCTTGTTTTTGTCAACAATCTGCTTCATGATATTCGTAAGGGCGAGGACTGCACGCTCCATGGCCGGAGCTGGAAGCTTCGTCTGGCAACTCCTCCTCGCCTCCGCTGAGGGGTGGCAGGCTGCCAACACCCTCAGCATGATCCCGGTCGCCCGAACCTGGATAGTCATGGAGAGCCCCGCGCCCGCCTCGCATCATCTTGCTGATCTCGGCAAGTTCAGCTTGGGACACCCCAACACTCAGAGCAGCCTCTGCCACAGCAGGGTCAAGGGAAGCAACCTCTTTCGCGAGGCCCCGGGGCCTAGGTGTACCAGGAACCGAACCTTCAGTAGGAGGCACGGCGGCACGCTTCGCAGCAGCTTTCTTCTTGCTAGCAGCCTTCAAAACCGCGGGGTCAGGGGCAGCAGCGCCCGGCTCAGGAGAACCAGCAAGCTTTCCAACACTTTCGGCGATGCGGGCTATGCTGGCTTCCAGGGCACGGAACCTCTGCTCATACACGTCTCCCCCGGCAGCTGCGCTAAGGGCACTATGGAACCCAAAATGGGTTTCAGCTAGGTCGACCAGGGCTTCGGCAAACGGAAGTCCCGCCTTCGATGAAGTGGCAAAAGAGATGTCGGGGAGGTCGCCGGACTCAAAGGTAACCTGGTCGGCCAGGCTTGCGGCTAACAACCCTATCCACACTTTGATGGCAGGCTCGGTTCCCACGACAGAGCGGTCCGTCGGGGATGCACAAACTACTTCCACAAGCATGGGTTTGCTGAAGGGACCCGGAGGCAGCTTACGCTTGCTGACTTTCTTATCCCAAGCCTTTTGAGGAAAAACTGCAAGGGTCCTGCCTTCAAAAGGGACCACAAGAATGACTGCTATGGTGCGGCGAGAATCGCCGTCTCCAACGGCTGAAGCACCAACCTCATATTCAAAATTGGCTTCCCCGCCAACGTAGGCAAACCGAAGCTCGCGGGGTCGAACCTCGGGGCTTTCCTCTTCCCACTGTGATCCCGAAGCACAAGGTACACCCTGTTTGCCAAAGGATTCTCCTCACGACCGCTAAGACCCCGATGCTGCCCGGCTAGGCACCGACAGAACCACAACCCCACTCTCTTAGCAATGTCCCTCCGCTCCTCCTCGGTGATCTCGGACCTCTGTGGGATTCCACGGGTGAGGGCTTACCTCGGGAACTCGCGGCTGGCGGTCCCTTGGGCTCACAGGCCCCAGTCTCTCAGAAACCAACACCTGTACAGCTCGAAGCTCGGAGCTGAGCCGCCTGACCTCAGTTGCCAAGTCCTGCACAGTCACAACAAGCTGGAGCAGGGCAGGATCTGGTGCACTCATGCAATCACAGAACCCTGTATAGAGGTCCGGCCCTGGGCCGAAGCGCAGCAATACGCTCTCTCACAACAGCACTCCACCAGACCCTAAGAAGATAAACCAAATCTATCAATGGCCCCGCAGCTAGCCCCACTAGGACCCCGATGCAAAGAGAAGGCCAATGCAAGCCCTCCGGCAAATCCAAGGCCGGGCACACGAATGGCACAGATCCTGGAGGTTCAAAGACAGAGGGAATGAAGTCCTCGGCCGCCCTGAAAAGAAGGGATGCGACGGAGCCACCCAAAAGGGAGGCTTGCACAGGCCTAAGGGCCATTCACTCCTTGATCCCAAAGAAACTTGAGAACCGAACTCAGCAAGCATGATAAGTCAGTGAGCTTAAAAGGCCGATCGACGTCGAACCGAAAGCAGCTTCGGCATCGACGTTCGCCGGCTTGTCCTTACACATCCTTACACACACACGCGTGTTACACGACAATCGCGTTGGGTAGGCGGTGTGAAAAGCGATGGCGACCACGCTAGTTGGCAGGTGGAGTCAAACCGAAGATGTTGACAAAGGCTATAGTGGATTTCGAAAGATTTCGACGGCATAGGCTGCACTGAGGATCCAGCTTGGTTGTCTGTAGTTGCTGCAGGAAGTGCAAAGATGCCTTTGTAAGGCAGCATGCCAAAGACATACTCGACGCTGAAGCAGCCACTTGAACTTGAAATTGCCCCGCCAAGCCTGCCACTGGAGTGCGTTGCCACATGCACTTATGAGAGATCCATAGGTGGCCAGATTTCGCCGTAGTCCTGCCTCCGCAAATTCAAGGCTGCTCGTGTGTTTGTGCCATTATACGAAGGATTATGTCTCAGCATACTGGAGCAGGTTTTCACTCCCGCCAGGTCGAGGTCAGCTTTGTGACACAAAACGTTGAACCAATTGGGCAACGTATCCAGGGTCTTCTAGAAGAAGGAAGTGTCCCAGCCCGTCAGCTGCATGAACCTCCGGGGAAATCACAGAAACCCTTTCTGTCGCAAATTGCATGAACCGCTCGAGAAGCGGATGCACAGTCCCGCGCCCTGCACCGCTGGCACAGGGCATTCTGCGTTTTTGCTGAGCAGCGTTCTTGCTCTGATGCGCGTCGCCCAAATCACTTGGATCGCAACTTGACCGGAACAGCCCTCTGAACATCTCTGAACCAAGCAAGGACGATATCGTGAGACGATCAGGTCTGCGAGCGTGCTGATGATAACACTTCCCCCTGCATGATGCAAAGCGAAGCAGGCTGGTTATCCCAGCCTCGAGCCCCCTAAACGCGCTGGAAGCAGCAGGCGCAAATCGAGTTCAATTGCGAGAACGGGGCAGCCCAAACGCTTGCAGATGCTTGTCGGTTGACGGGCTGCTCATGACATCGCACGGCAATCTTTGTAATCTCTCGAGCCGCTCAAGAACCTAGTTCCCCAAAGGTAGGAACGTAATGGGCATGCAAACGTCAAAGCAGCAGTTGACCAAATCCATCTTTCGACCGAGAGAAAAGCTAGCCAACGTCCAAGGAGGAACGTGAGGACGGTCAGAAACAACAAGAAGGGAAGCAATGTGGCGGACTTGTCAATGTGACCTTGTACAGGAAAGCGCACGGCCCCATCTTTCACGGGTGCACCTAACCTGCATCTCCAAAGCAGGATGTGAAAAACACCTAACCATTCAATAGCTTCGTCTGGTTTTACACCAAAAGCACACTGTGTCAGCACTCATCGAACACAACAGCAAGACAGGACAACAAAAGAAGTCGATGCATGCGTTATTCGGACCAGGAGCTGACGAACCGGGGAGGCATCGAGCCACCACCTGCTCTGCCTGCTGCCGGTCGCGCAAAAGCGCGCGCTCCTCTCACAACGTGCGGAACAGATTCAGCGTGGACTCAGTGCCGCTCGGAACTCCGGACAGAAAGTGAAAAGTGGCTCGGCTGCTCCTGATCTTCAGGTTTGGCACGGCGCTTGGACGACAGTACCAAATGGACCTTGGCTCCGTCTGATAGGACAGAATCTGAAAGACGCCAAGCCGTTGTCGCCTCAGCACTGATCGCCTTCTCGGACAGGTAATCGGCGAGTGCCTGGGGCTTGCAAGGATCCCACTTGCCACGAGGATCGTTTAGTGGCACTGCCGCCAAGCTGCGATGCGATTCATATACACCTCGGCCTCGTTCTCGCGGCGACAGAGCAAACCTTCAGCTGCACGTCTGCCTGTAAGTCATAAGCCAGCGGTCTCAGCGTCGAGCGCCATCGACCATTGTCGTTGTAGCTGCCGTAAGCTGCGAATGCAGCCTTTGCCTCTCCCGAATTCCCCCTAGTCCCCGCTCAAGATCAGCGTTCCCCGTGACAGCCAACGCAGCGCAACGAGGCATGCGGCACCAATTCTAGATCCATGTCCACTTGGAGACAAGGAGCCTGTGCCGGATTCCAGCACACCCTGAAGAGCAACTATAGCAACCTTGAGAAACCTGAGAACAGCAGAACTCCACGACAGCTAGACAATATCATGACACTCTTAGAACCCCTAGGATGGGTGGTCCTCTGGATGAAGGGATGGGCGTGCCAGCGCAGCACGAAGAACTCGTTCAAGCCCCTCGCCCACAGCTTGCTGTGACTCGAAGCCGTGTGCTTCCTTCTCGCCGAGCCGTCTTGTGCCCTCTCGGATGGGCAGCAACCGATGGTCTGCTTCACTGTCCTGGCATTTTTGCCCCAAGCGCGCCTTGGCCAATCGCTCTGCTCCAGTTGTGGCACCCTCGGCATCTGCCAGAACCGGATCGAGCATCAGCAGCTTGATGCTGGTTGGCCTCGCGTCCACACGTGGTCTTGCACAAGACATGTGCATCTTGCAGAAGACCTCGCCGCTAAGCCGATAAGAGCCGTGTCTCCTGGCGCAGGCAAAGCGTGGCAAAGTGCACAAAGCCAGAATCGCTGGGAGCGATTCAGACTGTCTCAGCCCGATCCTGCAAAAGAGTGGGTGATGCAAGCAGCCGGGCAACGGCCATGCAGCTTCGAAACGGAGTGCAGCAATCGGACGAAGTCCTAAGGGCAAAAGTCGGCTCAGGAAGTGCGCTTGACGGTGCCCGACCCGACTCGCCGGGCTCGCCTCCCCAAACGCGTGCCAGGAATAGTGTGCTCGCCCACTGGGTGCATCTGATCTGCCATGACCTCGCAGGTCACCTGAGGTCAGTCAATGCCTGCAACGAGTTTCACTACTCGGTCGTGACACAGGTCTTTGTCTTTAGATGCTGCTGAGGATCAAGCCACCACTATGGACTCTGGCACTAAGCGGCTTGCCAGCGGCGCCCACACCCCGCTGCAAAGGCTTGCTGCATGAAGACAGAGCACTAAAGGACCCTGCGGGCGACAAGGCGGCATGGATCTGTTGTAACATTCAGTTCAGACGTGCCTGTGCTGCATCCTGTCCCCACTGGAGACATCCTTATGATACACAGACTTGATCAATCCTACCTGCGGTTGACAACCAGCCAGAGTACCCTATTTCGATTCATCGCGCTTGCCGCTCAAACTCGATGCCGGAGACCACCCTCATCTTTCAAGTCCAGGAAAAACTCCTGCATTCCCACAACTGCGAACGGGAGGCTCACTTCGAACAAGTTTCTTCCGAGAAGCTTTGTCAGGCTTTTTGAAGGCAGTGCAGGCAGAGTAGCCCTTCGCTCCAGGCACTTCCACCTGGTCATGCCACAAGTGTCCCAAGCTCGCCATCCATAAGTTGCAAAGAAAAAGTGCAGATGAGCGTCCCTCAAAATCCTTGACAGTCCTCAGTGCAAGGCAAGATCGTGAAGGCAATCAGACGGCGCCCTCGGAACTTTCCACAAGGGCATACAAAAACCGGAATGTTCAACGGAGCTGCGCAGCGGCGTCATGAAGCATCACGTATTTGCATGCAGCTAGTGACGGCTCATGGCCAGAGGTAGCACTGTGAACCCAAAGGTCGATCGTGCAGGAAGAGTTGCATCTCCAGCTCACAGTACGACATGAGCGGCAAGGCCTTGTGCATCTCTGCTAAGATATCTAGAGCCTGAAACGATGTCACATCCCCGCGACAAGATGGAAGTCGGATGCTCTGAAGGACACTGTTCGGGCAACAGTGGCACATGTATTCCTCCACATGATCCGCATGATAGAATGCCTTCAGCCACAGAGATCCTCGATCACAGGCACTAAGTGCGGCATTGAAGATCACAGTGTCTCCCTTAATGCCGGAGCTTTCGGAGAATACCTGACGATCAAAAAGACTCCATGGCTTCAAACCTCAAACGCTGCATCGGCAGGTCCCCGTCCTTCAGTGCTTGCTGCCATGCTCGTCCCCGCTCGCAGCCAGAGATAACTGTGCCTCGGCTCAACCTCTCAAGAATCTGCAATCCATGTCTGGGCTTGACGCGCGCTTTACTTGTGAATTCACCAGCATCGCGACAAACAAGACCCCTCGGCGCCCCGCTGTAAGTCACAACATTAGGCTGAAGTCTGTCGTTTGCCATCTGACCTTGGCTGTGCTTTGGCATGATGGCCCAGATGCTCGGATGGGATACTCAACAGCGCCGATCACTCAATCCGTTGCACCTGTTGGAGTTGCTGGTTCTGCTAGCAATCGAGATCAAATTAGTTCGCAGTCGGCCGCTGCTCACGTAGGGCACGGGACCTTGAACCATCTCGTCGAGAAAAGCGACGGCATCTGAGCACCGCCAGATTGCTGAGCCGCTAAGCCCTAGCCTGCTACGAAGATGTAGGTAAGGCTTTGGCAGGGCCAATGACCTCCACGATCGTAAGCGGACAGCAAGGCATTGCAGGTGACCTGGAACGCAGCTTGGAGTTTCCTTTCCTCCTCGGCACAGTGACGGAGACAATGAGCGCGCTGCAACATCAGGCTGCAGCTCATATCCTTGAAGTCGAGACATGTCATGCCGAGTTAGAAGAGACATGATGCATAAAACACATGCGAGTGTCGATTGATGTCCCCATAAAGCTGAATTGCCGCTGGCCATCGGTGACATTTCCTGGTCGATGATTTGCACATCGCATGAACACCAATGACATCCTTGAACAAATCTTGCAATAAAACATCTGTCACTCCAACAAGCCAGCTGGTCTCGAAAGCAGACATAGTTGCGTTGAAGGCATGCACCGCCACGAGGCGTTCTTGCCTCATAGCCTGAAAGCAAAATCATGAATCAGTGGTTGGACCGACCGCTCCGAGCGAATGTGCCTCCAGCATGTCCAATGCATGCTCCCAAAGCCCTGCGCGCCCGAGTGCACTGATAGCAACCTTCACTTTGGGGGGCTTCTATCTCGCTCTGCCAAAAATGCGACTGCATGGGGGCAGCACCACCCAGTCTCTAGCATCTCTGAGTAGTTGCCAGCGGTGGCACCTGGCACAAATCCACAACTGGCATGTCCGTCGAATCCCACCAGACATTGAGGAGGAACACGACATGAATGTTGGACATGTCCCACCAAAACGGAAATCTGACGAGAATCGCTGGCACAGGCAACTGCAAGCCGGCTGAGCTTCTCCACCACGGCAAGTACCTCATGAACAAGTCTTATCAGTTCAGATGTTACATGATCACACATAGCTAGCCTTTCCAACCACGAGCTTGCGCACTTCATCCGCAGTTGTCACATTTCTCTGCACATTGGTGTGAAGCCTGCCGAAGGCAGTTTCTCTAGGCGTTGATGGTTTGCGCTTGGCTTTCACTGATGTCTGTGATGGATCTGGGTCCACATACCTCAGAGGGTACTGGAAACTTCAGGGTTGCTGTTGCCACAAAGCAAAAGCCTCCAACTGAAGGTCGTTTCAGACTGCGTTGGACATGTCTCTGGCATCTATGACACATGCGCAAGATGTGTGGCACAGACTGTCCTCACAACCGCAATCCTCGTCTACCTTCTTATCAATTATCATGTGGAGCACCCGCATATTTCCGCCATCCGTGTTGTTCGCACCTGTGACAAAGTCAGTAGCACCAGTATTCGTATCAACATCAATGATAGCATCAGTATGGGTAGCACTATGTGCATTTGTAGCAACACTCATTGGCATCTCCCATCTGTGGTGCCTATCTTGGGTTGGCGGTTGACGGTTGACGGTTGGCGGTTGCGGTTGGCTGTTGGCGGTTGGTGGGCGACGGCGGTGGCGGCGATGGCGACGGCGGCGGCGGCGACGGAGGTGGCGGCGGTGGGGGCGGTGGCGGCGGTGGCGGTGGTGGCGGTGGTGGCGGCAGTGGCGCCGGTGGCGGCGGTGGTGGTGCTGCTGCAGTGCTAGTGACTGCTCGTGATAATGGTTGTGGTGGCGGTGGGTGGTGGTGGCAGTGGTGCAACCCGAGTCTGCACAGGAAGTAATATGTCGAAACACCCACGGCTTTGACTCCCAGAACTTCGGTCTCGGCTGAGCACGTGTAAGCTCTCAGGTTGTGGCTAAAGCACAAACGTGCGGAGCCTGCCATTGATGGCCATCGCCACCACCACCACCGCCACCACCCGCCAGCCCGCCGTTTCCAACAACGGATGAACGATCGGTTGCTACCGTCATCGAATGCTCCGGTATAGTGGGCTTCTAGTACCTTTTCGTGGGAAGAACAGCGAGGTGGAGAGCAATCAACCTTTCGTCTTGTTCGGAAGAGAAACATTTTCTTATCGTCTTCTATGTGTGCTAATACACCGTTACACTCAAGATTCACTGCAAAGACGTAAGACACAAGACCGTCATGGAACTACTCACAAAAACTATGTTCTGCTGTCGCGAAAAAAGCCGTTATAGGGGATATGCAAAGGGGTGCCTGTGAAACAAAGCCCGACGCTCATCACGGGTCAGCTGCGGTGGCAATGTTTGCCCTTCGCGCGGGATGTCGGTCACACCTTTGTTACATACCGTCACAGTTGTATTGGCTTGCGCCGCACTCAAAAACACAGCTATCCGGAAGACAACTTGGCCGATTGCAGGCCTCGTGCTGCACGGCCTTCAAATTGCACCTTGCGAATGGGGCGCAACATGAGGAAATTAAAGGAGCCTACAAATCATCGGCTTGGGGCATGAACTTTGGCCAGCCAACAAGGGACCTGCTGTGAGACCTGATGATATGCACGCGTGGAAGGGTCAAGCTGACACGAGACCGCCAAGGGAGCCAGCCTGCGTGGACAAGAAATCCGTCTGATGAACATGAAGTCATGCTGCACATTCTGATTGTATGTACCCAACCGTCGTGAGCACTTCCAAACCAGGAATTACAAAATGTATGGTCACAAGGCTCTTTGTCGGTGGTAGAAGCATCTCCAACCGAGAACAGCAAGGAATCACTATGGCTTCAAGAAACATCATACAGCAGGAGCCCATTGATTGGTTGCTTGAATGTTGTCAGAATTAGCTGGAGCCAATGCCGTGCTGTAACTACTGCGACTACAATCCTCTGGAAAAACAAGATCACAAGCCATTTGATGGTCATAGTCATAGTCATAGTCATAGTCATAATGCTGTCAGATGCAGATCATTGTTGGTCAAACTGCATGCAAACTTGGTGAATCAGGTTTGCATCGACTCATGTTCTTGGTTGCTTCCACAATGGTTCTGTGCACACACTTGTGCGCATGCCGCTGTTTTCGGCATTGTGACATTGGGCTTTGGTTTTGCTGCTGTTGTGTTTCCATGGTGGTGCTGAATCTCTTGGTCTTGGATCATGCTGTACGGACACAAACAGCACGAAATGGGCCCACGATCGACAATCCACTGCGCTCTTGCAGCCATGAAGTTCCAGGTTCAGGAGGGCTGCGGATGGCGTTGCACTATGTGTAGGTCATGGCTATGGCTCTTCAGACGAAGAAACCGGAAAGGCGAGGCCAACACAAGACACGCGAACGACGAACGACCAGCCCTCCTACAACCACCTAAACCCAGGCGAGCACTGCCACTCGGGCCACTCCTTGTGCACGGAGAGGTGAGGCTCCTCAGAGGTCTCTGCAGTCTGGCTGCGAAACTGTACAACTAAGGTACACTAACCTAATGCTACGGCTGACGGCTACCTAGCGATCAGAAGCTACGTGGCACAGACCTGCCAGCTAAAGCCCCTGTGGGCTGGCAGCCGCGCCCAAACAGGGCCGCGAGCCGCGCGCACGCTCGGCGCGTGGCTGCGACCGACAAGGTCCGCACGCCATCAGCAAGAGACGGCACGGGTGTGCCGACCACAAGCGCACCGGTTGGCGCGACACCAAAGTGTCCAGCGACCCAAGGAGGGCCGACTTTTTTTTTAGCCGCGGCGGCCTGGTGCAACAGGCGGGCCGCGACCAATCAAGGTCCGCGTGCCGGCCGCACAAGGTGGCAGCAAGGGTGTGCCGCACACAAGTTCCGACTGGCACGACAAGCTATGAGAAGGCGGGCGCCTAGCACAGGCGCCGCGCAGAAAACTGCCGCGGGCAGCGAAGCAACGGCGTAAGCAAAACGCCTGCCGCCCGAGCAAATTAGCGCTGGTGCCGAGCATTGTGCTCAAGGCACTTTATATTATTTCCGAAGCACCGTGAAAACGTCAAAAGGAATATGTGAAAGTCGAATATCATATGTGAAGAATTCAACAATCCACTCTTTCCCAATGTATAGAAAGTGAGGATACTCTGCAAACGGACTCTTTCTTTCACAACTGGGGCAAGGTGCTGGCAGTCTGAGTCAGAGGCTCAGGGGTAGGCTCTTCCCCTCTTGGCATTTCGAAAGCACTTGCCCAAGGGAGGGAGGGCGGGACAAAATTTTCCTGCTCGCAAAGCTTGAGGATTCATGCACGGCAACAAAGACATCGCGCAAACCCTCATGCTTAAACTGTCATGCACTGCAAAGGAGAAGTCGTGCAAAGACTGCAGGAAAATTTCAAAAAGAAACTTTTTCACTAATTTCGCTTCAATCGAAATTTGCTCTTGGAGATAAAGGTTTCATCCTTGTTAGAGGAGTTCGACCTTATTTCCGAAGCACCGTGAAAACGTCAAAAGGAATATGTGAAAGTCGAATATCATATGTGAAGAATTCAACAATCCACTCTTTCCCAATGTATAGAAAGTGAGGATACTCTGCAAACGGACTCTTTCTTTCACAACTGGGGCAAGGTGCTGGCAGTCTGAGTCACCCCAATGGAAAACACTGCCGTGCCACCGCATCCCAGTCGACACGAAGCCTCGAGCATCCAATACTCAAGAGACCTTCGTACTCACCTCTGCTGGGGGAGTCTTTTTCATTCACACGCTTTAGTCGAGTCGACTTTTCAGCGGGCGCTACGTACCCGTATCAGCGAGTGGATACAGGAACGGCCTGTTCAGGCACGCCGGATTACTACGATGCCGCTTCCCAGGGCGGCAGGCCGGCTATTGCGGCCATGAAAAGAGAGCTAAGTACCACGTCCTACTGATCTCATTTAAGTCAGTAGAGTTAGCTACGACAGTCGGAGTATCGTCATTCTGTACATGGAGGGCCGGATGAGCGGCATCCTCAACAAGGCTCCTTTGAAGCTCACTATAGAAGGCAGCAGTCGGCTCCCCTTTGGGGGCCGAAACACCCATTGAGCGATAATGACCTGAGTCCGGAGTGCATCCGACGTGATACACTGATACACTACCGAGTTGAGCACATAGGTGCAGGGCTCCGTGTGAACACCGTCGGTGAATGTGGGCACCTGCAGCCGTGGCGAGAAGTTGACTCTGTGTTGCAGTTTACCTACTTCTCCTCCGAGGTTTCCACTGAATCGCATGAGCTGTATGCTCAGGATCGGTGGGGGTCTGACGAGTGCAGTGACCTCTCCCGTGTCCTGCTCATAGGTCCAATCCTCGATGAGTTGCTGCAAAGTTTTGTTTGGTTTGCAGGGTAATGTGATGAGTGGCACAGGGCTCATTCTCTGATGAGCATGAAGAAGGGGCCCTTCCGTGGATCGGGCTTCCCATTGGCCATGTATGCCTGGCAGGCGTGCATGATCTGTGAGGAATGTGAAGAATTCAGCCACATCTTATAGCTAAAGCAACTTTCGCACGAATCGTATTAAGTGTATAAAAAACATTCTCGAATCAATCAATCAACATATATTGTAATGTTGAAGCATATGCTCACATAACAGAAGCTTCGCAGGATGCAAACGGACACACTCTTTTTCACTTGAGTTGGCACAGCCGAATCGGGAAACGTTCCGAGCACTCGGCAGGTTGCCGATCGAGCATCATTCACGAGGATTGAGCTCGTTCAACAATCTCCCG